ACACAATAGCTATACATGAAAGGACTTCTAGCTAGCACATCACTGTGTCTGGGACAGTGGAGTTCCTACACATCACTGCATTTCTGAAAGAGTTGCTCAAGCACAGGACTGTGATGAAAACACAGGTGAAATAGTGTCATCTGCCTCACCCTGACTTGCAACAGGTAGTAAACATGCACAGTACAGTATGAGAGCTCGTGTATAAAAGTTAAACCCCGGGACTGCAAAAAGCTGAAGCTCAACAGAAGCCAGAAAATGTCTTTTGTTGCACAGATAATTTTAGGTCATGTAAGACAATCATTTTGGTCTTTTGTCTGACGTGTGATCATGACATGGCTCCAAAACATCATTTCATAGTATTTCCTCCAGTTTTTTATTAAAAGCAATTTCAAAGACTGACAATTCTGTATAGACACACTCAAACACTGTGTTTTCATTGCAACTACAATCAGAAATCTTTACAATTTAAAGGCTACACATGTATGCCATTTTCCTAAACTTCCACTAGTGCTTTTTAAAAAGAAAAGAAAAAAAGAACAAGGTCGTCTTACTGAAGTTCCCATTAGGTCCCTGTTCCAAATCAAAACCAGTCAAAACAAGTAATACAGACTGGTTTTGTTTTATGGTTTAAAGGCAACTGTAGTTCGCAGAAGACTGAAGTTAGGCCTAATAGGGTCTACATTACAGGAAGGGTAAAAAGTATTTGATAGCTCCTCCGCACAAATGTCACAAGAAGTAGACAACAAGAGACGTACAAAAATGAGTTGTAGCAAAGAGATTAAAAAAATACCAAAGCATCAACTGTAGAAAACCAATGGTAGCCCATATTTCTCTGAGAATACGGAAGGCTGCAGCAATGATTAGAGGAATAAAACAGGCATTAGGCTTCCTACTAGAATACTCTGCGTAAAACACACGCAGTGTCTAAACCAATGCGTGTTGATCATCATCGACATTTGCTGCAGGGTAACGGCTTTTGCTGTCGTGTCCCATTCCGAACCAGAAAGTGATTTTCACTTGAAACAGATACAGGTTTAAGACAAGAATCACTTCACTGCAAGCAAAGCTTTAGTGCATGTACTTGGGTCTCAGAAAAAGGATTTGGCATTGGCAATCACACAGAATGGTCACAGGCTGAAACAGGAGCATCTGAAGCTGTGACACCTGTTCCAATTCTGCTGGAATCATTAAATAAATAACACATAGAAAAAACTACAAAATGGCAACAAGGAAACAGCATGGGACACTTTGGTATTTTAGAACTAGCGCTATTTGACTTTGATCAAGATCCAAAAGATTCCAATGTCCACCCTTGTTGTTTGATCAGATATTTCTACCATTTTCTGCCATGTTTGTTTTTAGGGTTCTTTGAAAAAAAAAACCCCACCATATATTTTTCTTTTGGTACAAAATATGCCAATATGGAAAACAGTAAACAAAAGGAGACCTGAATCTTATTTTACTATATTCTGGGCTGGCTAGGGAGAGAAGACAAATTCTTACTATTTACTAATAAACTCTACATATCATTTCCTCATTTTTCTAATTCAACATCTCAACCACTGTGTTGTGTACTGTACTATAAAAAGGGAGCATAGAAGACAAATAGGTTATAGAATACAAATCCTCATTTCTAAAGTGACTAAAATGACTAAAATGACAATTCTACAAAAGGTACAAATATACAGAACCTTTTAAGATCTTGCATTTACCATGAGCCATGTGAATAATTTCAAAGCTTTTAGTGTGATTTTCTTCTAAATATTTGATGGCCTCCAAAAGCACCTTGCAAAGCTCTTCAGCAGAGAAGCAAACAAATTCAAATAAAAAAGGAAAGAGCTGCATGACAATCTCTCTGCAGAGTGGAAGATGAAGCTAAAGTTTTGACATCCATTGGTTAAAGCAATGAATCAAAACACACTGCCAAGTATGATCGCTAAAACACTTGGTCCTTACCACTGAAGACAGAAAAAATTGTGTGAATTTTAAATTTCCATAAAAAAATTGTAGCTTGAAAGTTTAGTGATTGTTCAGCAAAGTTTAGTGAAGTTCTCAATGCTTCCTTAGTCTTATCCCATTTCCGCAAATGTGTCATCTGAATCTCTCATTTCACCTTTTTTCCAGACATATCTCTATTAAGTTTATTCTAGGCTGCTAAGAACGGACTCCAAAAAGCCAGGTTTATACAAGATAAGTAAGTCACTGGGCATCAGCTGAACCATAGTAACTGTGTACATGCTTTAGCGCATCATAGATGCAACTGAATTTAAACCTCAAAGGAAGAGTTTCAATCCAAGTTGCGTTATTTAACAGTGGGGGTACACTAGGAGCATACGCAGCCAGTGATGTTCAATCATCTCAAGGGTTGTAGCCTTGACTATACATCTGAATCAACACTATCTGAACCAACACTACACAGCACAGCTGTGGAGGACCAGCAGACACCAAAGGTCTCCTGCCTCTTGCACAAGGATTGTTTTTGGGAACGGCTCTCTGTCCTGATATCAACATTACGGTACTATTGTATGTTGTGTACGTTGCTAGTTCAGAGCAACATTCTGTCCCCATGTAAGACAAAATATTTTGCCAGAATGCCATCTTTGTAACCATCTTTGCAGAAGGGAAATGGTCCAGTGGAGGTAGTAATTGACACTATGAAAGAGGCGTGTTTAAACTGTTATTCTCAATGACCATCTCAGCAGGTCAGATTTCAGAAATTATAATGTTCATTCAATATATCCCCGGATGACTTTGTTTTAAAATCCTGGTATCATCCTGACAGTAATTCTTAAACAACTGCCACTTCATATACCATGGATGGGATACTTTCCATTGCAATTAATGTATTTTCACATGTATAACCTGCCCTGCAGATAACTGTATGAAATCAGAGGCACAGGAGACAGATGAGAAAAATTAGAGGCAGAGAAGCTTTTGAGGGAGAAGGAGATTTGAATAAGACTCCCTTGCTCCCTCAGATATATTCATGGACATATAAGTTAGGCAGCTGCTGAATTGCAAGGTTACCTGGCTTTTTCAAAAGATACTCTGTGGGTAGTAAAACTGACAGCTCTTCTATGATTTACAATTTTTCAGTTTTCTTACCTTTACAGTCCACTAAGTGGAGGTACTATTTTCATTCATGACATTCTGCCCTTACTTTTAGTATATTTTTTGCTAACACACAAGGGTCCCTGTGGATAATAAAGGTTTCAGAAGTTTTCAAGACTGACCAGTAGAATAGGACAAATCTCAGTTTTTCAAAAGAAAGAAGTGGCAACACAACTCTCTTCAATGGAATCTGTATAAAATAGAGCCTTTAAACATGTTTTCTGGCATCAGAAACCATCTATATTTTGCTATTTGCATAGGTGGAAGGAATCAGAAATATCTCCTGGCTTAGAGTTCCAGCTGAACATGACACTCCAATCCCTTTGTATATAGAAGACACACTTACATTTTTTCCTTAGTTTGTTCCTTCCTTTTCTTTTTTTTTTTCTTTTTTTTTTTTTAATATATGTAAGTCTTTGGTCTATAAGCACATTGGTTCTGCGTGCACATACACAATACTGTTGAACAGTAGGTTGCATAGAGTCTGTTACCCAAGAACCTCGCCTACTTTTGGCACTGCTGTCACATATCACAGAAAAGTGTCCTGCAAGAGTTGTATGATCCTTAGCATCTTACATCAAACTTTGATATAGAGACTGGAAGAAGTGTGTATATAATGTTAAAAAAGATGTTTATTTTGGGTGTTACTTTGTCTTCTTTGGGACACAGTTTGTAGATCTTAGATGAAAAAGGAGAGCAAAATTACTTTATAAATGCCCTTAATTTTATTTCCAGAGGTGATGAAATACTGCTCAGTGTTCAAAGTTTGCTGTGAATTATGTTAAGTGAATTTTACTGAAGTTTTCAGGCATTTAAAATAAACCACTTCTAGTAATGTATGACATTCCGCTTTCTCTCTCTTCTGCCTACTAAGAAAGTGGCAATAATTATAAGAACAATACCTAGACTGAACTGTGTTTGAGGAAGCAATGAACTTTTTCATCTTCTTTTTTTTCCATTACACCCTTGCTCTCATCCATCTGAACATGCAAGAACAGTTTCAGGAGTGAGGTCTGGATTCACAATGGTGCACTTGAACAAACAGCTTTCAACATGGAATCTCTGCAAAAAGCTAGAATCTGTAGAGGTCAAAAATTGCAAGGCAAAAAACCCCAAAATAAGTGAGAATGAGTTTATCCTAACTGTTGACATCAATGCTTTTGGGTATTTGCACAACTAATCAAGTCTACTTCTAATGCAATTAACCACCAAATTGAATTTTAAATTATGCTAAAATAATTATCCCACAATTACCACATTTCCCCCCCCCCCCCCCCCGAACTGCTAATTGACCACATTACCTACTATTTAAAATATCAATCCAGTGTTTTAAAACTTCATGTTGGAGGAACGGCCACTGTGATTTGATAGGCAATTTCAAAACCAGCACTTTAAAACACAAAGATAGCAAAAATATCTGAAGCAGATCTAGAATCTATAAAGCTATGTTCTATCTTACTGTAAGTATCAAATTGAGCAACTATTACTTATAGCAGACTCAGCAAAAGCAACAGGGATGGACAGAAGAGATTTGAGCGTGATGCTCTCCACCACTGAGAATCCTAAGACATAAAGTTTGAGAATGGATATTCCCTTTTGTCCAGAAGTTCCCAAAAGAATACAAAATAAATAATATTTCAAAGACAGTACAAGTGAAAATACTGCTCCCATTGTGTCAGTTACATACACATACAGCATGCCTACGTATACAGAATGGTGTGTTGTCTTCATTCACAAACAGGAAGTATGGCAGTGCACTATCAGAATGCTTTGATACTCCTATTTTTTTCTGATGCTGAGATATATGAAGAAACCGCATTCACAACTTATAATTTACTTCCAGTAGTAAACAGTTCATTCTGTTCGTGTCTCATGATTGAACTCAAGCATTAATGCTCCTCTGAGCAAGTGCCACCAGTAAGATACCCGTTTGTCCCATTGGCACCGCCGGTCCCATTAGTGGTGATAGTGCTGTGCGGGGTCTTTGAACGAGGTACTGTTTCTTCCTCATCTGAGCTTGACTCTATGTCACTTCGGTCATCCTTTGCTACCTGTAGAATTTGAAAAAGAAGCAAGCAGTAGGTGATTGTAAGGAAACAGCTGAGCCTTTTGGTTCAAGCCAGAATCAGACAATTCAAACATTTTTCAGTTTGAGCTTTGAAGGCTATCTCGGCTCTGGCACACTTCTCTGCCTTTGCCTGCCTGGACTCACTTCAAACATGGATGCCTGTACACACATATGCCATGTGCAAAGGCAGGGTGAAAACTTTGCACTGGTGCATTGAAAGTAGTATGTCAAAGTGAGGGCACAGTGCTCAAAGCAAAGTGCACACACTAAAGGAACCAACAATCCAAGCTCCCAAATTCAACCAAGCCCCCGTCCCTCTGCCCTCGTACTACAACTTTATTTCCTGTGCTTTCTTTGGGGTGCTTCTCTTTGACCTGATAATACAAAATATTCAACCCAACTTCCTCCCCCTCACTTCCCAACTTATTCTCTAGAGGCCACATGGCTACAGGGAACAGTGCTATGGGCTGGCAGTAGGAGACAGTACTGGCCAAAACATGACTCACTGCACTAGGTAACTCCAGTCTCTGACTTCAGGCAAGTGGTGAGAATGGGGCTTGGAAACTGTGGACGGAGTCCACTTCAGTCTCTATCACAGGAACCACAAACGTACTAGAGCAGTTCAACTGTCTGCCCCATCATGTCACTGGAAAGCTGTTTCAGAAACAGACTGACCTTAATTGCTAGGGATTTCCTGCTAATTTCCAGCTGAATTCCTTCCTGCCGGTTTATACCCATTTACTGCGTGAACGCTGTGCCTTAGGTTAAGGAGTCTGCTCTCCTGCTTTGTAGAGCTCTTTGAAGGTCATACAGAAAGATCACTAAGTTTGAGAGCTGAGTCCCTTCAGAATTCCTGAGGTGACTTTGCTTCACCCCATTCAGTCAGGTGCACCCAAAACAAGTAAAAACATGAGGAAGCCAACAACAGGCAGGTCAAGGAGAGCAAACAAGGGCAACAGAAAAGAAAATCCTGCAAAGGCAAGGCCCTGCCTGCCCTGTTTTTAATGGGATGTTTCTCCCAGGGAGGTAACAATGGCACTGCCAATATGCAGGATCATAGGATAACTCATGTCAGAAGACACCTCAGGAAGTCTATACCCAACCTCCTGCTCAAAGCAGGGTCAGCTGTGCAGTCAGGTAAGCTCACGCAGAGCTCTACCCAGTCTGATCTTGAAAATCTGCAAAATTGGTACGAGTGCATCAGATGAAGTAAAAAGCAGCATCAACGGAAAGAGGTCTGAAGTCTAAGCTGCATGCAGCTTTAAAGATGCAGCTTTCCATGCCTGCTTCTACCCCTGCTTGTATAGCTGAGCTTCCTAATTCATTCAGAATCTATCCATGCTGTGCTGGTTGCCACATCAGGCAACTACAATTGACTTTACTACAGCAAATGGACATAAAGAGGGCAAAACACATGGCAAGTCTTTTTCATGAAGAAATCAAAACAATTAAAGAACAGGGCCACTGCATGTAATTTTTTGCTTGCAGTAATCCTCCTCTACTCCAGAATGCCCTCATGACAATTCTGTTCTCCAGCTCTCACCTCAGAAACAGCCATTTGCCTTTGGGGCTCCCAATGTTGCTACCATCCTTGCAGTATCACAACACCTAAGTGACACTATTCTGCTTGGGAACAGAGGAAAAAGAAACACAGTTCCCATATACCTCCTAATATGTAAAGTTTTTAATGTCATTGTCTAGCAAGCCCACAATTCTGACACCCATGAAACTGGACTTCAGCTGAGGTCAGAAATTTGATTCCATACTTACACAGCTTCAATTAACAGATTACTTCAGTCTCTTTATAAAGGACTATATTAAAGCTGTTGGGGATACAGAAATACACTTAGAATTATCCTTTTATCAGACAGAACAGAATGGGCCCAGCACAGGGTACTGAGTGCCTGTGATTGATGTGAGGGCAGACCAGATGATGGAAAAATTCTGCGTCATCTTACATTCTCTTAATATATTAGATTTGCTGCCAATTCTTCTGCTAGGGTCCTGCCCCGAAGCCAAACAATCAAAAGAAGATTCTATGCTGTGGCCACTTCTACTAAATATGTGATCTGCTCTCTTTATTTTTAAAATGCACCAACATACTGGGGTCTTTGCACTTAAAACCTGATATGAATGCAACACATCTTACAGTATTTAGTTCTCTTCGTTTATCCCCAAAAGAACCCACTGGAGTAATTTCTACAGAAGGAGTCTAGAAAATGTGTATCGAGGTTTATAAAACTCCTAAGCATAACAGTAAGTAAGAAACAGATGATCAGGACTAGCTACAAATTAAATTGCTTTATCAGCTGAGCTGTCCCAAAGGTGGATGCTAGTAATACAAAAATAAAACAATAATTAAGGATGAAGATCTACTGTAAGGTACCTGTAATGTGTTCTGAAAACACTGCTTATTTTACTGCAGAAATGGAAAGAATGGCGTTGCATGTAAGGAAGTAAATTAAGATGTGAAGGAAGAAGAATCCTCCATGTATATGTCTTACATATGCATCTTTAACCTGGTCACTGTTTTACTGTGAGTGTCGAACTCTGCCCTTGTACAATCTGCATTTTCTCCTGTGCAATTGTTTGAACTATAAGGCAGAGGACTTATGCTCTCTAGTATGCTTCCTGAATGGTGACAGAGCAACTGCTTATCCTGCTGATATATATGTGTAAAAAAGGTTGTAACATAATAGCGCCCAGTTACTACAGATAGAAGTGGGTTTGAATGGTATTAGGCAATGCATAGGCAAGAAGTAAAAATGGCCTTTATAGATAGCCTTCATTTAAATATATAAACACAAACAATGGATGAAAATACCAAGCAGAAACTACAAGTTTAAAAAAAAAAACAACACAAACACCAGTATTGCACAGAATAAATCTTTTGCATAGTAAATTTAAAGAAACTTACATGCAAGGGGTTCCACTTCCCAGCCTTCCAGCACAGCACAAGGCAAAGTATAAACAAGCAGAGTAAGAAAGAGTACGAAGCACTTTTTGAAGTCACTGGTGTAATTCAGACAGGACAGCTGAGGCTAATAATTGCTCAAAGCAGAGGAGACTGAAGTGTGGCTTCCAGGCAAAGTACAGTTCACGAATGCACTGTTTTTCATACAGAGTGAGTGGCAGATTCTGGGCTCTGTCCAGTGCAACGCTGAGCTCTCCAGCACATTCATAAAAAGCAGTTTTCTGTAGAACACTCCCATCCACTTCGGGGGCGGTCACACGTCTAAAACATCTACTCATGCACTCTACTCTTTAAGGGCAAAATGCCCTGTACTTTACATGATCTGTAAGCGTTAGTTCTATCATCGAAATGTGAGTGGTATCTGCACAGCAAGCATAATGGGGCTAGCATTTCTGTGAATTATATCTTCCTGTCAAATATAACGATGGCAGCAAGACACTAAATTTTATCCCAAATGGTCTTGCTGTGGGAATCCTAGAAAGTATATAGCTCTTCGCAGAACCTCATTAATACCAAAACCCAAAAGAGGCTGTGATTTGTAACTTTGCCACTAGCAACACCAGCAGAATTTCAATTTGTATTATTATGACTACCGCTACAGGCTGGGAGATGAACACTTTGCTAACAACTGCTAGAAGGAAGAAAAACAGAACTGGCAGCCCCAAGAAAGCAGTTTGCTTGAGTTTTTTTTAATCCAATTTCCCTAACGTAGTTTGGTTCAGTGTACCAGATTATAAAAAAGAAGTGTGGAAGCACATATAAATACAATCACTATAAAGAGTATATTAACTTATCTGACGTTTGTTAGAAGGAGTGGAAAAACATTTCCATGAAAGAAAAGTAGAGTTTACATAAAACAACATATGTCTTCAGTAACGTATTATAGGTAAGAAAGAAAAAGTAACCAAAAAAGTCAGTGACCCTGCATTGATATTAAAAAAGTTAAAATCATAAACATGAAACAGAACCATGCTGTCTTACCTTGCCCTTTGAAATAGCTTTGTAGGCTGCCTTTATGATTAGGTAAGACCAAAAACAGTGCAGAATTTGAAGAATCACAAGCAGCACGTTGAAGACCCACAAGGCAGGAAAATTGCCCAGAGCTTCGTACAGTTCAAACAGTGTTGTGTTTAATATCCTAGAAAAGAAAGGGACAGAAAAATAATAACACTTTCCTTAAGCCAACAATCTAAAAGAAGCCTTTTCTAAATCAAGATGACAAGTACTTGATTAGATGGGATCCACATGGATAGTTGGTTCTCACAGTAATAGTGACTTTGAATGAATCACACAGGTGTCTCCAGAGAGAAACAACATCAAAACGTTGCTTTCGGTGTTTAACTTCATTTTGCAAACATCACATATAGAAAACAAAGATCCTCAGTGTGCATTTCTTCTTTTATAAAGCTGGCAGGTGTTGGTTGTCTCAAATAACTCCTTCCGTGATTACTAACACAGATTACTGCATTTTTTTAAATAAAGCTTTTCCACCTCAACTGCCTGTAGTAGGGATTTGGTGCCCCCATATTAGCACAGGGTAAGAGCATGTACGAGGACTGTTATACTACAGTGCAACCCACATGCAGTACCATGTTCTTCAAACCATGCTCCCAGGCTCTGACAGCGAGCTGCAACTTCTTCCATGTTACACGAGACAAACCTGTACCAGGAGCCAGGCAATGCTCCCCAGGTACTCCCATCTGAAGCCCTCTCTCCCAAACCCAGTCTCAAAGTCAATGGTTTGTTTCAATGTAGACAGCTATGGATGTCTTTGCCTTGTTGGTATCAGCAAGGCGAGTGATGTGCTATGTGGAACCGAAAACAGTCTGAGACTGTTCAATTAAAGTGAGACTTCAGCGGCATGTGAAACAATGGCACACGCGTGGCAGGATTCAGCCTCTTACGGGCTTTTCTAAGAATGGGGTGGGGCTTTGGCTGAGTGTCCCAACATAAACTCTTATTTAGTGGAAACCTCAGCACCAACAGGAATCCAAACTAATTGCACTAACCACTAAGGTAGTGGGTAGCTCTGGTGGCCACTTTTTGCACAACATACAATTTGCACGGCACTTATGTGCAAGCTAGAGCAAAGTTTAGCAGTTACATAAAGGACAGGTGGACAACGGGGATACTTGGGGGCAGCAAGGGGTGAGAGTCATTATTGTGGCCTTTCAATACTTAAAGGGGCTTATAAGAAAGATGGAGACAGACTTTTTTGTAGGGCCTGTTGTGAAAGGACAAGGGGTAATTGTTTTAAACTAAAAGAGGGTAGATTTAGACTAGATATAAGGAAGAAATTCTTTATGATGAGGGTGGTGAAATACTGGAACAGGTTGCCTAGAGAGGTGGTAGATGCCCCATCCCTGGAAATGCTCAAGGTCAGGCTGAATCAGAGCAACCTGACCTAACTGAAGACGTCCCTGCTCCCTGCAGGAAGCAATTGCACTAGATGACCTTTAAAGGTCCCTTCCAACCCAAACCATTCTACGATTCTATGAAATGTGGGCAGTTCTAGGGATTTGAACCAAGTTTTTGAGAATCAGCATTTCAGATGCAGGCAGTAACAGTGATGTTACAATATGGCTCCTGAAGCTTTGTAGATACAGCACTAACTCTGCCCAAATACTCCACCATAGCAGATGACTTCAATCTGGACCTCAGCAAACAACCTGAGAGCAGAGAGCGGACAACAGGCAGTAGAAACAATGGCATTTCTGGAAACAATGATCTATGAATGCCTGTTAATTAGGGGGAGACAAAGAAGGCCATATGAGGATTTGTCAACCTCCATCCACTTTCCCCGCTGGTGTAAAAATGCATTTAAAAGTCCATCGGCTTTACGTCCCTGTTCCTTTTTGACGTCACCCACCACCCGCAGCCACTAGGTGGCCGTGTCACCCAGCAAACGCCCGCAGAGCCCCCGGGCGCCCCGGCTGTGCCCGAGGGCGGGGGTGCGGGGGTCCCGTAAGGCCTTCGAACAGCACAGCTCTCACTGCAACAGCAGAGGTACTGCGCTCAGCTTTGGAGCAAGCAATCGCATTTCGCCACAATCCTTTCCGACAACGCAAGGATCCGCTCAAGTAGTATTAATAAGAAGCATGTACAGACAGCAAACCCAGAATACGGCGTTAGTGGCAATGATTTATGTGTATCAACAGCATTGGCCAAAAATCAACCCGCGATTTCTAGTACACTGGCCTTAATACTGTACGCCATTTCATAATAAATTTTCTACCTTTTTATTTTTGCTTTCGTACACTAAACTGCACGTTTGCTTCATGATTTATTGAGAAGTGGGTGTTTTATAACCTTACTATACAGCTGTGCTTTTATACTGTTTATGGAGCGAACATCAGAAAAAGAAACTGTTTTCCATTTTGCAAAACTCCCCTCACACTATTGCTTCTGTCAGCTGAAACTCTTCACTCCAGCTTTGTGTAATTTGTTCTGCCAGTGGTGGTAGCTCTACATGGCACAGCAATACCCCACTTTATAGTTCAGGGGGACGCTCTCATGCATATCAAAACACAGCTGTAGTCAGCACTGTTTTACTTCACCAGTACTTATTTCAGTTCTAACCACTACATCAAATTCAAACTTGAAATCAGCAACTCCTGCACGTAAAGCTACCATTGTTTACATCCAACTGTCTTTTTTTAATGTCTAAAATTTAATATGTTCCAGAATTGTAAATGCAGTTTCTACAGGTTTCTGTTTCTATTTTCATTCACTGGACCAAATTCACCTCTGGGGAATTCCATAGGAGTCGAGTCAAAAAAGCTGCATTAGAGATGCAGATGGTCCATTCTTGCAGAAGTCCAAAATATCAGGAAGACAGCAAGGCCAAAAAGAGTGCTTCTGGTTCCAAAAGCAGCTTCACACTGCATATGACTCATCTACTGTGTATTAGATACGGGAAATAAGCTTTCATGGAAAATGCAGACCTCTTTCTAACGTGCTCGTGTCTGGCAAACTAAGGACAGGACTGGAACTGTCCATTAAAACTGCATAAACGATCTCACTAATTGCTCAGCAATGCTAAGAGGGGTCAGTGACCTGACGTGCAGGCTAGGTGTGCAGATGGACCTAAGGCTATATCTAAGCATGTAGGGCTGAGCAGAAGCTGAATGAAAAATACAGAAAACTATAGAAAGAATGGAGGAAAGCAAATAAAATTTCTCTCTCAGAATAAATCAATTTTTTAATATCAAAGGTCTGAAATGGGGAGAAAAATCATAAGGTTAGTGGGCAGAATACAGAGAGAAATGCTACTTGTAGAGGCTGAGGAAGGGAGGGAGGCAAGAAAGGTTAGACAACTTTCCACCAATTCCACTGCTGAAGGGATTCAATGGAAGCATTTTAACTGACTACACAAATAATAGGGACAGGAAAAAGCAGCATGAGATGGATTACACGAAGGAGAAAGTGCCTATGGAATATATATGCAAATATATCTTAGGCTCAAATACTCAAAAAGGCAGTCAGGCACTTAAATCTGCAAACATGCTTGCTGGAATTTTTCAAAGCTCTCCAGTGGTTAAATCCCAGGTTTCCATAATGAATGGTGGAAACTTTGATTCTTGGCTATGTGACTTGAAACAGCTGGACTTGATCTCATAGGGAGAAATTACTTTAAGCTACAAGTGCTCTACCTCTCTGAAAACTTTGGTCAGCATTTGTCAGGTCTCTGCAATTTGAAACAAAATGTTAGCTTCTGCTTTTGAAAATAGGTTCTGGACTGTAGCAGTTTTTCTGAGGCCCTGAAAGATTGTGATAGCTGGACAAAACAACAGAGTCTCATGGAAAGTATTCTTCTCTCTTATCTCATTAAATACATCCCAAGCGGGGTTGTGCACCTGGCTGCGTGAAGCTCTCAGTTTAGCATTTTGAATTATGTAGTGTGGCTGATGAAGGCAAATAAAAACAAATTCACCACTTAAGATCCAATCTACTCTTACAGAAATCTGTGGTAGACTTTCAGGAACACTGCCACAATATCTGAGCCACTGGGAGAGGTAATTCTGTACTTACTGTACTACTGTTCTAACTGAACACTCAGAATAAAATTAACACATTTTCAACAACTACTGAACAATCAGCTGCATCACATCAACAATAACACAGGTTTTTCCTCTACCATCTAACTCTTTATCTAGCTGCCTAAGCAGTACTTGGGAGGCTATCGGCAACAGGCCCGTACACTGACTCAGATAAGACTACACTCCCCCTCCTCAACTTAGTAGGCACAAGTCCAGGCTTTTGGATAGCAGTTACTAATTCGTGGCAAGTTGATCACTTGTCTTGCACCAGGGATGGAATGAGAAAAGGGATATGAAGGACGAGAGACAAAGAAAGAGAGGGATGGGTGGAAGAGTAAAATGTTTATTTACATTTGTCTGAATATTGGCAAAAACGTGCTGTGTTTGTTCCTGAAAGGATGCCGAGAGGAATGAAAGGAGGTGAGAAAGAAGGCCATGTGGAAAGAGCAGGCATTCTTCCAGACAGGCAGGAAATTCATGACAAACTCTGCAGAATGAAGCATAGCAGGGTGATGGGCACTATTATGACATCCAATGGGAGCAGAAACTGTGCAGCTGAAATGAGTGCTACTGCACGTTGGCTTAACTTCTGCAGCACTGTCCAGTGACCAACAATACTGCATGTGCAACATGCTGAATGAAAGGCATGTTGTTACCACAGTGCAACAGCCAGAAGTCTCAAAGCATAACCAAGGACAGAAAAGCATGACACCAGCTTGTCTAAATAATTCAGAACAAGTATCTTTAATTCCTTTACCAAGTGTGTATTAGGCAACAGTATTCTACATTGCTCCATAACCACCTGCATTGGGACATCCTTCAATACTGCATTCATTATAGAGCAAATAGATAGTTACATCTAGGTGGCCATTAATGAAGTTCAAATACTACTTAGTGCAAGTAATCCAACAATACTACTGCCAGCAATGCTTCAAAGTTTCTGCTTTTTTGAATTTTTCCTTTAAAAAATAAACAATCGCACCTACTTCTGCCCCCAAACATAGTAGCTTTTTCTCCATTATACATGGTAAAAAGTCACCAAGACCAGAGAACAAAGAATCAGGAGTCCTAAGTTCTGGATATAGCTGTTCTATTAATT